CAGGATATTGAGCTATAACCATCACTGTATTTTTTTTATCATTGCCTGGTGAAGTCCATACGCCGACAAAATCAACATTCTTGCTTACAAAAAGCTTCAATTTCTCCAAATCACCCGTCCAGCAAAGCCGTAGTTCTTGCATTTCGATTACAATACTTGCCACAGAGTTAGAGTTACGGGTTAGAGCAATAGAGGATAGGGTATAAAGGACTTATCAAAGATAAAATTTTAAAGATTAGCAAAATTCTTGATAAGTATTTAATAATTTAAAAATGAAAATTATAGCCCAGCAAATGACTTTCAGACAAGACATAACAAAATATAAAATTTATATTTATACATTTTATATTTTTTTATGTCATGTCTGAAAGTCATTTGTTGGGCTTTAATTTTCATTTTTAAATTACGCTTTCCACCCGGTGTATCAATTACTACTGTTTTAAGTATTTAATATTTAACAAATATAAAACATTTTCCGTGTTGATATACAGTTATATCAACACGAGTGGAAATTGGGAAAACGAGAAATTGTGCCATTAAGCGGGCCAGCCCAGCAAACTGGGCTCATATAAACAGCCCCTAAGACTACTTTAGTTAGCTTATTAACAAACCGTAGTATATTAACTATAGTAGATAGCTTAAGATCTACGACGTCGACGTCAGCTAGGACGTTAGGGCTAAGCAGAGGACTGGGACGTCGTCCTAAATAAGTAGATAGCTAGCTCAAGTATCTACGACGTCAAATATTTAGGGCGGCAAGTGGAAGTAAATTGGTAATAGTTTTTGATGTGTGCATGTGTCTTTCTCAATTTGCTCGTCGTCCACCAAACGTCGACAACTTCACTACGAGAGTTTTACCGTCTTAAATACAAGAGCATAACGGTAATGGTTCACACGTCTCTTTTAAATTCATTTTCAGAAGAATGTAAATATTTATAGTTTAAATGTCTACGTCGTCAATCTTAAATGGAAGTTTATTTATTTAGGACGACGTCCTAGTCCCAGTCCTCTGCTTAGCACTGACGTCCTAGCTGACGTCGACGTCGTAGATCTTAAGCTATCTATTAACTAACGTAAATTATTTTTGTCATTGGTAATAATTACATGTGTAAAAGACTTATGACCCTTCACAACAAATCCATACATTTTTTGTTAATCCTTAAACTCATTGTTAAAAAGTAATCACAGTGGAAATAAACGTGTTGCTTGCTAAATAATTTATTAAATATTGCATATTTAGTTTATTATTAAAAAAAGGAAAGGGCGGTGACCAATTTCGCCCGCGGGCTTTGTGGCAGGCTCTACATTATAAATATCTCTAAGCATACGTTTTGCTTATGAACGTCATACTCCACTTTTAGGATCAGTGACACAGTACAACAACAAAATGGAAAATGTTCATTGTTCTCCTGTACAATATATGGCGGTAAAAAAAGCTGATTATGGAGATTTTAATATTGGTGGTAGATTTTATATTGGTACAAATATTGATACGAATTGCAGCATACTAACCAATTGTCAGGTGAAATCTTTTTGTGGTGGCAAGAGATCCTGTGAACTCACTATTGACAATAATTTACTACCATCACAATATTGTTCTGATACTTCAAAAGAAATGTACACCGAGTACAATTGTGAGGATAGCAATAGCTCAACCACTATAACTACAGGTAAACTGGATACTCTAAAACGTATGAACACTTAATTTACAGCAGCCAGGATGCATTATAGGTTAATAAATACAATAATCTTCTACTGTATAACGCAATGGAATACATGCAGTATACAGGACGTCTTGCAATGGGCAGGCGATAGTGTGGTAACCAACGTAGTTGCAATCGTAAAGGCTACATAATATGGTGCCTATAATTATAGTGATAGAAAGTTTATAAGTAAATAAAAATGCGGTTAAAACCAGTCGAACTTCATCCTTATCGATTGTCAATCCAATAATGCTGGATAACTCCCTGCTCAAACCAGTTCGACATGTATGACCAGCTAATAGTGTTGGTTACAACATTGTCAAATCCGTTTGAATATTAATAATGTTTCGTAACGGTGGCTGATGTTGTTAAATGGAGAAACAGGTTTGACATCTTTCTGAACTTTCGTCCAACATCTTTCGAACAGACCCTATTGTTCAACCTGTCCTGCCTTGTTAACGATTGTATGAATTCAAGTATTTAACAGTTTCAAAGTAATAAATATGCTCTTTAATTCATTGCTTTCTACTTCAGCGCCCAATATTAGATTATCACAGTCGCCAAATGAAGGTTATATCGAAATAAAACATGGCTCAACTTGGAAGTCTTGGAGACAAGTTGAAGAGAAACATTGGGGTAAAATTCGCCAGAAAATGCTATGTCGGCATTTGGGATTTAAAGAAACGGACGCGAATGATATTAATTTTCATGGACTTATCCTTGCCATTATGATTGTAACAGGGGACTTGATATGTTATAACACACACTCAGGTGAAACATCCTGTTGTGTTCATCTTAAACCTTATGCAACTAAATTTTTTGTTTCGCTGCCATATGCAAGATGTAAGTATTGATGTTTTACAAATAATTAGCTACACACGTAGAAGCTATGTTTTTTACATCGGTTTGTCTGTCTGTCTGTCTGTCTGTCTGTCTGTCTGTCTGTCTGTCTGTCTGTCTGTCTGTCTGTCTGTCTGTCTGTCTGTCTGTCTGTTTGTCTGTCTGGTTGGTTGGTTGGTTGGTTGGTTGGTTGGTTGGTTGGTTGATTGTTGGTTGGTTGGTTGCATGCTGATTGCGTATGCGTCGAGTTAAATAGTTTAATACGAAATTTGCGGAAATAATGTCCGTTGGCCAAAAAGACAAATCGATTAAATCTTGGTTCAATTCGCTGAAAATATTTCTTGCTTTTTAATACTGAATAAACCTGGAATGAGCAATTCATGCTTGACGTGCAAAAGTATGCAGTTCGGGAGTTCCCTCTAGTTGTACATGTTTTCAAATCCTGGTAGCCTTCTACCAACACGAAGGGAAATCAACAGCAATTCTTTATTACTTTTGCTGTAGGCAAGATATGCGATAATCCAATACTCCAGGACCTAACTGCCGCATGGACAGTTTCTGGCAGTGGTTCTCAAAATTACAGTAGATCGTTGTTTAATAGTCTTGGGTGGTGTGCCTCGGGTTCTTCACCATATCTTATGCTGGATCTTCGGAAAGAATATCATGTAACACGAGTTGTGACTATGGGCAATAAAGATCAAACAAAATGGAGTGAGTCATATTCATTGAAGTACAGTTATGATAAAACTTTGGTGGACGACAGTAGGGCAGTCCAGGTATTTGAAATGATTCTGAAATTTGCCGGACCATTATGGGAATAATTTGATTTCGTTTGCATTTGAAGGTAATTCAGACTGACTATACAGTTGTAACGCGACAAATGAATTAGTTTTTCTTCAATTGTAAAGTCTGTTTATTGAAATCCTTACCCGCAATCTTTAACATGATTTGCGGCTTGTGAAATCTGGATAATTTACAGAAGTTTGACATGCGCATTGTATCTGTCTTGTCCTAGCACCATCTGTCTGGCTCTTCCAGATTCATAAGAGAAAGAAGTTTGAAATACATTGTAACCGTACTTTTCAACAACGTAAAGTGTTTATAGTGTACATTTGTGCATACGGTATACTAGATTGTTGTACAATAGTTTCTTGGTACAAAATTAACTTGCTCAAATCGGGCTTTTTACTAATATTTGAAATGACTTTAATTATTTTTTAGATTAGCGGAAACCAGAATGGTTACCAAGCGTCCACTACAACCCTCGATATCTATAATGTGAGATACATAAAGATACAATCATCTAGAAGCCATGACTTCTGTCTTAGAATAGAACTTTGCGGAAAAGGTACTGATCTTGTTATCGTTTTTTTCCAATGTAACTTACTGAAAACCTTCTATGACAAGACTGAGGCAAATTCCCAAATGTGTTTTTTGGACTAGTATGTTTATGCTATAGTTATAAGGGACGGGTATTCAGTTGGAGTAGAAATTCTGTCTTCGTTAATATCCCTATGATTTAATTAACAATTATTGGATGAGGTTTTTGTGATAAGCGGAATTATCAAGGTCGAGGTAAACGCTTACCAAGACCTTGATAATTTTGCATTTCGCAAAAACCGAATTCAATAATTGTTTTATTATACAGTTGTTTGTGTTACAGTCAAAATACAAGAACCTTCCCGCTTCTGTAACTTGTTTTGTATTTATTTGTTCTATTTTCTGTAGCGATTACCGCTTTAT